ATGGATACTTTCATATAAGAAAAGAATATTTAGATAATCTGCATACAATTCATGTTTCCAACCATTTAAAAGATATAGAGTACAAGATAGGGAGTTCGTGACAAAAGAAAAGGAATTAACGGTCTATGTTTGGTCACGCGGTATGACTAAATACTTTTTTAGGCGGGGGGGGGGGGGATAGCTAGGGATAATTCAGGATGGTGCGGGTGAAGGATGGCGTGCAGTCTTTGTTTCCCTTCTATTGTTGGAAGGATAAATGGGGGGAGAAAGAGAGTAAAGGATAAAAGACAGGAAGAGAGAGAAGGAAAGATGAAGAAAAAATGGGAAGGAAACTAAGATTCTGCGTGAAAGATACGTGCGACGACAGACAAAGATATATGCAAAAATAGACAGTCAGACAGGAAAGAAGACAGAAAGAGAGATAAAGTTGGGTTCGAAACCACTGTAAAGAACCGATAATGAGTCTTCTGTGAGCCTGGCAGAAACGTCGAATAATTCACCCCAAAGGGAAGACCTCCTGCCCTCCCAGCAGCAGCCTGCGTCTACGGCAGCGATGGCAGAGTGCCTGAGGGTGCAACAGACCAACACGGCCGCCAGGCACGCGCCGCTCCAGCCAGTGAAACGACCCGTAATCAGCGAAGTTCCACCACAAAGCCGTCCCGACAGTAAGGTTCTGTTGAGGGATAATGGCGACCTCTCAGCTGATTGGCAGCGCCACGAATCGCCTTTTGGTTCTTGGAGGAGGAGGAGGAAGAAGGAGGAGAAGGAGGAGAAGAAGGAGAAGGAGGAGAAGGAGGAAGAAAAGGAGAAGAAGAGAGAGAAGGAGAAGGAGAAGGAGAAGGAGAAAGGAGAAGGAGAAGGAGAAGAAGGAGAAGAGAAAGAGAAGGAGAAGGAGAAGGAGAAGGAGAAGGGAGAAGAAGGAAGAGGGAGAAGGAGAAGGAGAAGGAGAAGGAGAAGGAGAGGAAGAGAAAGAAGAAGAGGAGAAGAAGAAGAAGAGGAGGAGAGGAGGAGGAGGAGAGGGAGGAGAAGAAGAAAGAAGAAGAAGAAGAAGAAGAAGAAGAAGAAGAAGAAGAAGAAGAAGAAGAAGAAGAAGAAGAAGAAGAAAAGAAGAAGGGAAAGGAAAAGAAAAAGAGAAAAGAGAAAGGAAAAGAGAAAGAGAAAGAAAAAGAGAGAAGAAAGAGAAAGAGAAAGAGAAAAGAAAGAAAGGGGGGAAAATGAAGGTTCGGGTGAAGGTGAAGAGCAACGGACGAAAAAGAGAAAGAAAGACATGGGGAAGGGGATGATGAAAGGGAAACATAGAGGAGGAGATGAAAGGGAGAAAGAAAGGAAGATCTATTGAACTGATTAGAATAAAGGAGATGGAAATAAGAGGAACGAAGAGTTTTGTATTATGAGGTAGGAGTGGGAATGAGAACATGATTGAAAGTGAGCCAGACAAAGAGGGAGACAAGAGTATAGACATACAGTTAGATAATGAAAGTTGAAATATTGAGATGATGAAACACTGAAAAATGTAGAATTCTATTAAAGGAAGTGAGAGAGAGAGAGAGAGAGAGAGAGAGAGAGAGAGAGAAGAGAGAGAGAGAGAGAGAGAGAGAGAGAGAGAGAGAGAGAGAGAGAGAGAGAGAGAGAGAGAGAGAGAAGAAAGCGTGTGTGAGTTGCGTGTGTGTGTGCGTGCGTGTGTGCGTGCGTGGATGCCCTTGTGTATGTCTGTGCGAGCGAGCAGCGAGCTCGTGTCAATATTTTTGTTTGTTACAATTTTAGTTGGGTATATTGTTTGAATAGATATGTATGTGTGTTGGTGTTTGTCTGTATCAGTCTTTGAGTGTGGTGGTGTATGTGTATTATATTTCTATGTATGTGATCGTATGTATGTTTGTATCCAGAGAGAGGGAGAGAGAGAGAGAGAGAGAGAGAGAGAGAGAGAGAGAGAGAGAGAGAGAGAGAGAGAGAGAGAGAGAGAGAGAGAGAGAGAGAGAGAGAGAGAGAGAGAGAGAGAGAGAACGAGAGAGCCAGACAGATTTCAGACTTCAGACTTCAGCCAATTTACTCCTAAGTTTTGCTCGTGTCACGCTGCCGCTTCCGCCACAGCCGCTATTTTCCGCTGCCGCCTTGCACCGTTATCAGTTCTGCTTTTAGCCACTAAGAAGCCGTAGAATTTGATTTATTTTCGTTTGCATTATCGTAGTGTTCCTTTTATAGTGTTTTTTTTCTGATCGAGTATTTATTTTATTATTTTTTTGGTAGTTGATGTAAATTATCGCTCTTTTTTCCTCAAGGAAAAGTTCGACTCTTGTTTTAGTTTTTACTCGTGGGTACCGAAGGATTGTCACTTGTTATTCACATCCACATTTGACATGTCTCCTCTCTCTCTCTCTCTCTCTCTCTCTCTTCTCTCTCTCTCTCTCTCTCTCTCTCTCTCTCTCTCTCTCTCTCTCTCTCTCTCTCTCTCTCCTCTCTCTCTCTCTCTCTCTCTCTCTTGTTCTTCCTCTCTCTCTCTCCCTCTCTCTCTCTCTCCTCCTCTCTCTCTCTCTCTCTCTCTCTCTCTCTCTCTCTCTCTCTCTCTCTCTCTCTCTCTCTCTCCTCTCTCTCTCTCTCTCTCTCTCTCTCTCTCCTTCTTCTTCTCTCTCTTCCCTCCTCTCCTCCTCCTTCCTCTCTCCTCTTCTCTACCTCCTCCTCCCTCCCTCCACTCTTTCCTCTTCCTCTATCTCCTCCTCTACCTCCTCCTCCCTCCTCCACTTCTCTCTCTCTCCTCTTCTAACTTCTAACTTTGTTCTTCCATTTCTAAGGATGTCTTTCTCCCTGTCACTCCCGTGGCCTTACCTCCTCACCTGTCGCTTCGTTCATCGTCTCCTACTCCTTTCTCACTCCTTTTTATCGTTTTCTCGTCTCCGTATTTTCATTATTCGATTATTGTATGTCAATTTTTTCCATATACTTTTTAATATTGATATTATTCTTGCTACTATCATTATTATTGATACTGATAGCATTTTATGTTATTGATATGAATATTGTTTTGATTATTATTATTATTATTATTATTATTATTATTATTATTATTATTATTATTATTATTATAGTTGTTTTGTTATTGTTCTTGTTATTGTTTTTATTATTATTATTATCATTATCATTATTATCATCATTTTTATTAATGATATTATTAATGTTATTAGTAATGTTATTGTTATTATTATTATTTATTATTATCATTATCATTAATGTTATTAGTAATGTTATTGTTATTATTATTATTTATTATTATCAATTATATTATTATATTGTTGTTGTTATGTTATAATCATCATTTTTATTATCATCCCCCTACACCTTTTATATTCAAATCTTAATTTCACCGTATTTACTCCATCCGACATCTTAAAATATTCGCTTCTTTTCTCTTTTTCTCCGCCTTTCTTTTTTATCGCTCACGAGCCACCGTAACCCATAAGAAAAAATACAATTTTGTAACTGTATTTTTATAATCGTTACCTCGGTGAACTCGCCAATCAAAGTAGATATCATGCTACCTTATATAAACTTTTTTCATTCTGTTTTTTACCGGATTTCCGCTGGATCTTGAACTTTGAGCTACTTGGAAATTCTCTGCTGGGAAATAGAGTTTCTGTAAATCTGTGACATCGACCATTTCATCTGCAAAGTATCTGACACATACAAATGTAGTCTATGAACTCTCTCCCAGACCTTTCCCCAAAATTCCTTTTGTACGTATCAGAGACACAATTGAAACATTATTTTTAACTAGACCTACGTATTGCATTTTTATGAAGATATTCCGAATACATCACATTATATAAAAAGAAAAAAAAATCGTGCTGTTGTTTCCTGGCATAAGCATACTCTCGCATCGCTGGCTCGGGTTCTCCATTCGCTTCGTGACGTCACTGTTGGAGAATGACGTCAGCCAGACATCAGGCGCGTCTTGTGGAAGTATAACGGAAGCGAATGGTCGCTGTCTGGCACTCGCTCCATGAGAGTCTTGGGGATGATGATGATGGTGCTGGTGGTGGTGATGATGATGATGATGATCACAATGATGATTGTGATGCTGATGAAATTTGTAATTTCGATATATGGGTCCATGCATTCACAAGGCAAAGCCATGTCTGTTGAGGTTCAGTTTTCGGTACAAACGATCTTCAATTATTTGTGTGTGTGTATGTGTATGCGTGCGTGTGTGAGCTTGCGTGTGTGTGTATGCGTGCGTACATACACTTGTATGTATGTCTGTGCGAGCGAGCTCGTGTCAATATTTTTGTTTGTTACAATTTTAGTTGGGTATATTGTTTGAATAGATATGTATGTGTGTTGGTGTTTGTCTGTATCAGTCTTTGAGTGTGGTGGTGTATGTGTATTATATTTCTCTGTATGTGATCGTATGTATGTTTGTATCCAGAGAGAGAGAGAGAGAGAGAGAGAGAGAGAGAGAGAGAGAGAGAGAGAGAGAGAGAGAGAGAGAGAGAGAGAGAGAGAGAGAGAGAGAGAGAGAGAGAGAGAGAGAGAGAGAGAAACTGCTATGCAGTTTGTGTGCGTGTGTGTGTGTGTGTGTGTGTGTGTGTGTGTGTGTGTGTGTGTGTGTTTTATATGTATATCCTCATGTTTGGATTAGTGTGAGCTTACATTTGATTCATGTTATGGAGTAATCCCTTCTGTCTTTTGATATATCTCCTGTATTTATATATAATTTCATTTGTTCTGTTCCTTTGTTGAATTCTTCGTTTATGTTACTGAGATGATGAAAGGCAGATGAACGCAGCGTTTCTTCAGAATATGGTGTAGTTCGGTGCCCTGGTTGGATACCTGTGGAAGATTGTCGATGTCTAGTCTAAGCTGAGGCCAGTATTTTTGCAGAATACTTTGGGTGTAGTTGTGCCGTCTCCTTTGCCGAGGATGTTGTAGTGTTGTAGTGGCGTAGCGTTATGGTGTTATAGCCCTGTTGTGTGTGAGCGACTAACCCCCGCGGTATCCTCCCGTAGGTGTGTGAGGAGCCACGTCATGGGGGAGCCGCTGGAGGCAGTGGAGGGGTCGGACTCGGAGATCAGCCGTCTGTTCCCCAAGTGTCGGCCGCGCTCCGCCACCCACACGCCCACAACCACCACGCCCACCACGACGCCCAGTGACGCCAGGCGTTCCGACCTCAACCTCAACTGCGTCCTTGACTCCGACGACAACGACAACTACGAGACGGAGACCATCACCACGGCCGGGGACCTGCCCACCATCTACGACAACTCAAAGCTGAGCCGCGACAGTGGCAGCAGCGGTCGCATGTCTGTTGACAGTGGCTCCGGCTCGCGTTCAGGCTCCACGCCGGGCTCTCGCTCCGGCTCACACTCTGGCTCGCACTCAGAGTCCACCAAGATGGAGCGCAGCGCGGAGGACGTGGACATGGACATGGACGTGTCCGTCGTGAGCGGCTACGATGAGTACGACGAGCGCTACATGAGGTCCTCTGTACTCGATTCCTCCTACGAGGAGCCGCCACCTCCGCCGCCCACGTCCCGCCCGCAGGCGCCGCGCAGGGAACACTTCCGCCTCAGAGACTCGCGAATCGAGATCGCTGGCGGCCGGGAGGTGTTCAGCCACAGCCGGTCCCGCCCCGCCCGTCGCAGGCATGACGAGTCTCAGCGGCGGGGCAGTCAGCAGGTGCAGCATCAGCAGTACCCGCACGATCGGCAGCAGCAGGAACAGCAGTGGCCGGAGTCACCAGGGGACAGTGAAGGTCGGGGACGAGGTTCTTCCGTGCGAGAGTCGCCCCTTGTGTATGAGACACGCCTCACAGGCTCCTCTGAGGTGGTATTTGACGACATAGGAGAGTGGGTGGCGCGAGGCCTGACCGTGAGGGCCTTGGACGATCGCCCCGGCTCCCCGTCCTCGCCCACCGCAGACCACCAGGTCAACCCAGCCGAGCACGGCGACCACGGGTACCTCGCGGCCTACGAGAGGTCCACCTCGCCCTCAGACTCAGACTCGACGCAAGGGTCGCCACACAAGGTCACCAAGATCGGCAACGTCCCCATCGCGGAATACGAGGGTTCGCCACGGCGGTACGGCCCCCGCCCCTCCCCACGCACCCACAGCCCCCGAGGCCCACACAGCCACCACGGCCCTCCCCCGCGCCCTCCGCGACCGGGCTTTCCCAGGCGAGTTCTGGCCGAAGAGGCAGCAGCCAGGGAGGCTCACGAGGCAAGGGAGGCCCTTCCCCCTGCGGAGGTGAGTATTCCTCCGAGGGCGGTCGAAGAAACGGGCCAAGTAGCGACTCAGGAAGACGGAGGAGGGGGCGAGTGTCCCCCAGATTCGTCGTGTTCGGAGGGCGGTAGCATGTCTCCCGCCCCACCGGTTATAGCCATATCCACACTCACGTCCTCTTACTCGACCAACCTTGCCCCGCAGCAAGACGCCTCTCGTGTAGACTCAGATATGTATGATTATTCTTATGAGATGTCCGAGACTAGAAAAGTGTTAGAAGAATTCTTTAAGGAACAAGGGGGATCGCGAGGCGACGAGTTCCTAGACTTAGAATACCACCTCAAGAGGCAGCAAGGCAACAGCTACGTTGGCCTTCGTCTTGCGGCCGAGTACGCTGAAGACCAGGCAGAAGGCGCTCCGGAGGAGTGTCCTTCCGATCAGAAGGATGGGGGGTCGGAACAGCACAGCAACGCCCCCGACCATCGTAGCGACATTCCAGAGCATCACAGCAGCAACGCAGAGCATCACAGCAGTGTTTCGGAGCACCACCAGGAAGCAAGCGAGCATCAGCACGCGAGTGGGACGGAGCAACAGCGCAGAGAGCAGCAGTGTAACAGTGGTTCCAGCGCTGCCCACGGTCTCGAGCCAGATCTCGACGCGACCACGTATGAGGTAAGCTCAGCATCACCCCCCCACCACCACCACCACCACCACAACCACCTCCACCACCACAACCACCACCAATACCACCTCGAACTGTCTTATGAGGCACAGCAGGAAGCACAGCAGGATCATGTACAGCACCACCACCATCACCAGTCAGTAGACTGCAACAGCAACTGCAGCCACAGTAGCAACAGCGGTGTAGGTATTGTCGAGGACCCTCTCAACCTGGAGGCCTTCCCGGAGGCCTACCAAGAAGACGACGACGTAGAGGAAGATGTAGATGATGAGAATGAGGATGATGTAGATGAGGAGGAGGAGGAGGAGGATGTGGAGTTAGAGTTGGAAGGAGTTGACGAGGAGGAGGATGAAGAGGAGGAGGAGGAGGAATTAGATCTGGAGTTAGAAGAAATAGATGAGGATGAGGACTTCCAGGAACAACAGCAACAGCAGGAGGAGAAGAGTGCGCTTTATGACAGGCTAAATGAGGTAGTGGCAGCTGCGCTAGGTCGTGACTCACTCCTGGATGGCAGGTCCGGGGACGAGACAGCGTCCTGCAGTGCCGCCAGAAGGCCCTGCCGCGTAGATATCCCCTCCAGCGGCAGGGAGGACCAAGGAGGCTGCTGCGACCTCTCCACCGAAGGGGAGCATGACGCAGCCTCCACCAATCCTGAGACCGAAGACCTGCCCCAGACCGAGGTGGGACTGCAG